GGGGGGGGAGACAGAAGAGCGATTCAAAGATGTAAAAGAGACAGACACAAAGGTAGAAAAAAGGTGAGGTGAGTACCGCGAAAGTAATCGAATATGACATACACTGGGGTGATGGCGGTTTGGAGTCAGAAGTCAACTGCCGGTTAATAGACCTTTTTGCCGTATGAGCATACGTTGCCCAGGGTGTACCACGTGGAGGTAAGTCTATCACACCCCTTATCTACAGATGTAGAGTTCATTAAACTCCAACGATTGAAAATTTAGAGAAATTATGTTATTGTGAGTAATAAAACATTGAAAAAGTGTATCGTCTATTCTTCGGGTTTCGTAATCGGCATGTCATTTGAATTAACAGTCGAAATCGTCGTTTAGATTGCTAACCACCATTCCCTAATTGAGGCGACTGAAAATAGTTCTGTCCTAAAAATTTCAACATATATTTTCGTCAAACCGATTAAGTTGATATCTTGTATAAAATCTTATCCTTTTATTTTTTATATGTAGAGTCCCTCAACCGAATGCTAATACGCAGATGTACAGAATGAATGCTCCACCTTCAGCTGGACAAATTATGAATAACAACTCGAACATGGGTGCAACACAATCGATGCCACCCCACCAGTTTTACGGTGCACCACCACCCTCGGGTAACTGTGCTCCTATGATGCCGCCACCCTATGGTTACTCTATGGGAGCACCTGGGCCAGTTCCGGCACCAACCATCCCGACTGCCTCTGTTATGGGATCGGGCGGTCTCCCCACTCCTGGTTTATATCCTCCGGGCGGACCCTGGTAACAGCCTACTAATTCCACCCATCACAAGCCGTGGTGACTAACAATAAAGCATTTCTCTTCAACATCACAATAATAAATTTTAGTGTTTTTATATTTTTCTCTTTTTAATAATGATCAATCGCTATGATAAGGTGACATAAGCTCCATCATTGGATACGATTTCGGCTACATTGCCTATGCCGTGGCTATTGGTTGTTGGTAGGGTGGGAGATCTCTGCGCTCGTGATCAACATCACGACCATACTTAATGACTACGGTACAAGTAATGCAATATTCCCCAAATAGAGCATTTTTGAGTTACTAAAAGGTGAATAAAACGCTCGATGTTTAGTTCCTGTATAATTGGGCTGTCAGGATGGGAAAGTGAGCATTCGACCATAACGAGGATGAGAAGCTTTGGATCTATATCTGCAGGGCTTTGAGACTGGGGCTAGCTATATCTGCGGGCAAAGACTGGAGTGTAGGAGTTGAAGGATGTAGGGCAACTTTCGGAGGTGGGGCAGGGGTGGCAAGTGGGTGCGAAAGCAACAAGGGGAGGGTTAGGGTGGACAGAATGAGTTACCCACTGGGTATATGCCGATATGCGTTTAGGAACTTTGAAAGGTCCGTCACAGGATGTCTGCAAAGTTTCATGTCCTGATCATTGTGGTTGGGTGTGAAAAGTTCTTTTCATCGGGTGGAATATGATAATGGATATGTATTTTTCTTGTCTTGGGAGTCAAGAATAATGTTACCAGACAACCTAAGGGTTGTTTAAAAAACTAGTTCTCCAAGGCAGTATCAAAGGTCTTCCTTTATACTCTTTCAAATTTCATGTAGATTGTTTGGAAGATGTTCCGTTCGAGTTACTATAAGAGAAGGCTCTATTGTAGCAGAGTTAAGCAGTTAATGGAAACGCTCAAATAGAATTTTGACTTATAGGTGATGGGCTGTTGTGTGGAGGTGAGTTGAACCAAGCAGATAACTCAATTGCCGAAACAGAGCTGAAGTGAACTATGATCAACCATCTGGGTCGTCTGTGCTACGCCTGCAGGAAAGTTGGAAACATACTAATAGGAATACAAAATTTGATAGATGTACTGGAGTCTAGTGAGAATTGACGTAAAAGCAGCATTAGAAACCTCTAAAGAAAGCAATCCATAGTAACAACTACAATGAACGCCTGCAAGTGTTAATAAAAGACATACTTTCTCTGCTAGTTGAATCCCACAGGCTCTAAAAGAATAGTCGCCAAATATTATTAAAAGAATTATTAAAGATTTATATTAAATCATCAAGCACTTTTTATAATTATAGCGAATAAAGTGAAAAATTAATTAATTTTTATCATCACACTGTGGTTAAAAAGTTAATTAGAGAAGGTTTCTCAAACTTTCAACAATATAGAAAATATTACAATAGAAATTTACTAATATTAACCATATTATAACATCTTGAAGACATTGAAAATCGAAAAGTTGTTTTAACATACTAAGTGTTTGCATTTCGCACTCGCTTGTCCTTGCGGCTCTTTCCGCCTTGATCGGCTTTTTGAATCTCGTGATGTCCAGACTTCACGATCTTGCTACTGATTTAAGTGAGCAAATAGAACCGCTTAAAGCTGCGCTTTAAAGCATATTGCGATATTTTAGTGCCAAAAATTTCTATTAATTTATAGAGTTATCTTTGTTTTCTTTTATTGTTTTTAGGCCTTGAGGTTGATAGGTTCGCATCTCAAATAGAAGAAGAAAAGCGCAAGATTTCTGGTTAGTATTCATTGTTCTCTAAAAAGTTAACATATGTGAAATCAATTATTTCGTATTTGGCATTAGATATCAAAGCCCGCTTCAATACACAATGGCAGCAGCGCTGTGAAACTGAAAAGCAGTCTTTAGATCTGCAAAATGAATTGGAACGTCTTAAATCCTGTTTTGTGAAGTGTGGTCCTTCTTCAGATGCTACCGATCTCTACCTTAGCAAAGCTCAAGGTGTAGTTAGAGCGGCTGCTCAAAGAATGAGGTAATTCGTCTACATAGCCTTTATCCTTTCCCTAATCGAATATATATTAAACTAAGTTTAAAGTCGTCAAACTGCAACTTTATTCTTTTTCTGATAGTTATTTCTTTTTGGCTGGAAATGTTCTAATCCTGTTGTAATTTTCCTCAAATGTCCTATTTAAATTCTTCTTTCTCTTTAAGAAGTAAATTTATGCATAATGTGGGTATTTATATTAATTTTTTACTCATTTACAAAAAGTATTGTTCACATATATTAGTGCACATTCATTGATGGAAATGGTTAAAAATACAGCACATTAAGTTAGAAAGCTATTCAGGGCTGATGCTCTTATCCGAAGCGTACTATTGCTATAGGTCTTTAGACCAATAAATGGTCAAAGCCAGTACGTTGTTATCACATTAGAAAGTGTATATTAGGACTAAATTCGACGTCTGTAACCGAAAGCCGAAGTAAACGCATTAAACATCATATGTCTCTTTTCTCTATATCTTTGTGGTTGCTTTCCTGTTTCTTGAAGCCCTTCTAATTATAGGAGAATCTAACATAGAGATTATTGAATATGTTTTTTAGTGTAGCTCTCCGCCACACAGCAACCTATTCCTATTTTAATCATTTTTAATTAAGGAAAACCTGTGTAGACATTAAAGACGTCACTTATCATCTAAAGCTCATATTTAATCGGTGTCCCTTTAGTGCTTTTTCTCTACTTGTAGGGACGAGAGAATGGCAATTCTGGGTGAATACCAGACAAAGTTGGATAGGTGTGAGATGTTATTCCGGCGAAATACCATGATGGAAGATTTCATTTCTACCTGGCGCAAGAGTCTCAAAGAAGAGAAGAATATTCAGGGTTAAATTCCATCTTATTTTGCTATATTTTTGGTTATTCAAATTGATCCTCTCTTGAAGGTCCAGAGCTGATATAAGGGTTCCATTGATTTCCTAACTATATTTGGTATGAAATTTTTAAATAGTTGCATTTCTTTTCATCGACGTCGCTATGATATTTTCCATAATGTTTCAAATTTTTTTGACCTTACGAATAGTTTTTATCCAAAACTGTTTGCCATTTCTCAAGCTCGTTCTCTTGGGTTATAGCTATTTTGAAAATAAAGAATGGTTAAATTTAAAAATTTGTAATATCGTGCATACTAGTACCATGTATACAGTGGTGTTTGTCTTGAACTATGACGTGAAATACTATCCACTTTTTGAACTAACGAGATTTGTTCTAATGGGGCATCAAATTGTTTAACCTTATAAATTTTGCAATCAAGGTTTATATTTTTTTGTTTTTTGAACAGAACTACCCCAAATCATTAGGAAGTTGTAAGTTCCTTTCTTTTTTATTTGTTTTTAATTGGAGAAATGGTCATCTTTTAATTTGCTGAATATTTAGATCTGAAGATTTGGCCCAAGTTCACTCCTGTTCAGTTTTCGAGTTGTTGCAGAAGGCTACTAGCGAAGTGAGCGATGCGTTACTTGACTTCTATTTATTTGTTGTTTATAACATTAACATTCTCCCAGCTTTCAATATAACGACTTACCAATTTTGGGCTCTCGAATCAATTACAAACAGTTTTTATTAGATGTAACTTTAGATACTAAGTTTAACCATATGGCAGGTGGAGTTATATATTAACCTTAAATAGGCTAACTGGAGAATGTTTGCCTGTTCAAATGTACAACACGTGAGTTTGAAATTTAAATGGAGAATACTAGCTATTGCCCTCAACGTGTACTTACTCTATATCATCTACTTTTTCACTTAACAAATTCGTAGTTCCTTACCACATTTTTTTCTATTTAGCCCTTTCAAGGGAAAGGTGATTCAAATATGGACGTCACTAACTTGGAGGAGACTGAAACGATGCCTCCACCTCAACAACCCGCCCCGCTTGCGTTAAAACCCCTCAACGTTGCTTCTCAATTACCTGATGACGCGCTTTGTAATGCGTCGAACGTTGGTGAATTCTCAATGTATCGAATGCGTGGAGGTGCAGAGCCCTCAATCCTCAACACAAATGATTTTAGTCGGTTGGGATTAGATTCTACTCTGACAGATAGGAATTGTGAGTTTAGTAGTAAATAACATTTGTTTGAAGGCAGCTAAGTAGCATTAGAAATTTTTCTTAATCACCAACCTAGGAGGAACTCAAACTCCAATTCAAGGACGGTTTATCAAACGCCATAACTAAATAGACTAACTATAATAACACAACTTACAAATTAAAAAACTAATACTGAATATAAAATGAAAACCTTGTATTTGTTCTATTGAAACCACTTCAAAGTTGCTTTGTGTTTAGAGAGAAACCTAATTGTCTCCAAATTATTTCTAACTGTATTCGTATTTAATTTTACCCCTTTTCAGGTATGTTTTCTGAAGAAGAACTTCGAAAAATGATGCGTAGGGGAAATGATCTAACAAATGATAATGATCAAACATTATAATAGCAATGAAACGTTTATTGTTATTCCATTTTGTAATAATTGATTGTTTATCGTTTGCTTTCAATCAATTTTTTATGCAACTTGACTTAAAATTGGGCCATTACACAAAAGATCTCATCATTTTAAGAAATACAACGGAGGGTTCCATTTGACAGCAAATTAAAAGTGGGTTCGAATCCCACCTGCGGTATTGTGACGCGAGCAT